CCGCAGGGGTGCTGCTGCGGCGGCGGCGGCACGGCGTTTGGGTCCACGGCTTGCTGCCGCTGCCGCCGCCGCAGGGGTGCTGCTGCGGCGGCGGCGGTAGCGCACGTGGCAACCCCCCGCGTTTCCTTGCCTCCCATCCACCGGACCCCGTCTGCGCTTCACTTTGTTTAGGGAGGGGCTGCTCACTGCTCATTGCTCATTGCTCATCGCACACTGCTCAACGCTCATTGCCCTATATCCCACCCAGCCGCAGGACTCCACTGCCGCCCGCGCCCCGCCCCATCTGGCCGCTTGCGCGCCCCATCCCCCCTCGATGGGGCCCGCCCACACCGGGGCCTCCCCCCTCCCGCCCACTGCTTTCTCAACGGCCCCGAGCCGGGGCTGCCCTCATTGCATACATAGTGCGCCTTTCCCTGCTTTTCTAGTGACCTAGCGTTCCGCACTGCCGTTTGGCCAGCCCATGCTCCCGTACCGTTGCGTTTCTCCCCAATGCGCCATGCCACTTTGCCAGTCATACACACGTTTCGATGCGTGCCCTGTCAGCTGCTTGCGTTGCATGTCGCCTTGCTCCACCCCTGTTTTATTGCTTTCTCTGCTTTCGCCCGGTTCCCGTCCCGTTTCGGCGGGGAGTCTATGTTGCAAGCTAGTTCTTGCTTTACCAGACTTTAAGCCCACACAAGCAAGAGTCAGCGGTGAAAGCCGCATTGACGACCTGGCCCGAGGAGGAGGTCAGGCGGAAGGTGGCCACCGATTTCATCGTTTGAGAGTAACTGCCATAGAAATACAGATACATCGAGCGCAGATGCGTGGGTCTGGTGGTGTTGGTGGGGATGATGGTGACGCGTGCCGCTGGGTTGTTCGTCGCTTCCCAGTTGGGCACACAGCTGTCAGATGGGGCCATCCCCAAGCCATAGTAATCTGCGTAGATCTGTGCCGGGCCGACAATCGTGTCAGATGTGTTTGTGCAATTGATCCCATACGATGAGCTAATGGCCGGGCCCCAGGGTGCCGTCACGATCAGGTTGTTGCCGCAATCGGAGCCATCCAAGAGGCGGCCGGGCGCCGTCTGGGACGTGGGGTCATCACTGCCGGTGTCCGAGAGGATGAAGGAGCACCCAATTGCACGCCCGCTGCAGGCAAGCAGGGTGTTTGGGACGAGTTTCAAGCTGGGTGAGGGAGCATGCGCATCAAGCTGGTAGTTAGTGCCCTGCCAGCATGCACAACACAGTGGCAAGTTGACCATGCTCCTGGACAGAAGGCCCTCACAATGCGACCTTGTGTTACGCTGTTAGCAGACAGACAGTTGACCACTTGCCTGGGTGCCTCGGACAGGCGAGCCACTTCCACGAATGGCCAATTATTGAACGCGTAGGGGCCTGCCGCTTTAGGGTCAGCGAATGCCTCCAGAGTGGCGTATCCCCCAGCAGGGATGGTGACCGGGCTGTCAAAATCAAATGTGCCCCAGTTCGCGCCCGTGCCGTTGCCTGAGTCTCCAGATGACGAGACAAGGTGGAGGATGGCATGGCTGTTGGCGAGGCCATTGATGAAGACCCCAGAAGCGGAGCGGATGGTGACAGCGGCGGAGGCGGTGATTTTGACGCGGTTGGCGGGCCCCGACGCATATAACCCCATAAACGGGCCACCTAACGTGTAGAAGTTGAAGGGGCAGAAGTCATTAGGTGTTACAGTCACCCCGCTATGATAGGCCGCGTGAGCAGACCTTGGGCAGGGGGCACACGTGATCAAGGGGCATCAAGAGAGGGGGTGGACCATGGAGCACCCTCTCCATGGCTCCGACCACCCTCCCCCCAGCTGAGCGTCCCAGGGTCACCCCACCCTGGCCCCGCTCCCCGTCCTGCCGGACACGCAACCCCCACAACGTGGTGGGGGACGTGGGGATCCTTAGCAGCTTAGGCCTGCCAGGCCGACGGGTGCCGATGCTGGTGCGGGCTCCCGGCGGCAGGCAGCGCCGCCGCCGGGCACTCAAATGGCATGGGGCACATGGGCCCCCATGCCCGCACATCTCCCAGGCACATGAAAATACCAGAAGGCTGCACATGTAAGGGTGCATGCATTGCAGGCAGGAGTGCAAAGTGGCCTGCCGCGGCGGTCGGCTGTGCCATTACTCAGTCAGCCGCCGCTACCGTGCCGGGCTTGGCGTTCCCATGCCAACATGCCGGCGTGCCATCGCGCAAGGGGCCAGTGAGTGTGTGAGG